ATAATGAGAAATGTATTTAGTACTGATAGCCTTGTCTCAGGGAAGGCAGGTATTGCTATGCAAACTTATCAGCACCTGCAACACGATTACATGTCTGGCTGATTCAGATCAACACCACTGGTATGATATCCTCACTTGGAAGCTGGCAGGAGATACTGATAACAGCATTTGCATAAATCACAATATTGCTGCAAAGAGGGATGGAACAATTAGTGTTCCCTGTCCACAAAAGAAGGAAGTTCTTAGCTGCTGCTGATGGTCTTTCCCAGTCTACTTTTTGTGTTGCCCCTGAATATTTATCTCAGCATGCCAAGCCAGCCTGTTTGTATTCCTGCATTGCACCAGAGGAATCAATAGCAAAGGTGTGTGTTAGCCAAGAGCTATACTGCCAAGGACCTTTGCAGGGGGAGATCCCTCGGTGTGGGTGCAAGGCCCACAGTGATAAGAAATGTTTACTGGGAAAAATTTGGGATAATGTTAAGCTTGGTGGGGTAGCAGCTAGTGAAGAGGATGATTAACTCTCAGGGATGGTTTAGAATTCTCTGATTAAAAGGCTACATTGTGGCAAAATTTGCTTTACGTAATTCATTTGAGAATTGGTAGGAAGGGGCAGTCTTGTCATTTATTACTCTGCACACCCACTTGCCACCCTCACACTTTATCAGCAGCGATCTGGGATTCATTTCAAGACCATTGATTAAACCATCAAAGCCGGTGGTGCTTGGCATGGATCCCTGCAGAAGCCCAGCAGCTCCTTGCTGATGATTCACTGTTGCCAACCAGCATTTTGTTCCCCAGGCTGCCTGCTAGGCACCACACTGACAGTGCTGCTCACTTCCTGGGACGCCCTCCTCACAGCAAGCCAGTTACATCCCTGCCTTTTCTCCTGAGCACACCTGTTATCTCGAGAATTGAAACCAGGCTTGTTTGGCAGGAAGGTCTTCCATGTTAATCAGCACCTGGTAAGGATGCTGAGGGTGCCCCAACATATGCAGGAGTCCTTGGTGCCCGGCTCTTGCCAGACTTTGCATCCTCCTGCCTGGGAGGTGGTAAAGCCCCTCCTGGTTGTGTCCAATGATGGGCTATTAAGTGGCAGAATGAGAACCACACTGTCCAAGCCATGCCATCTCAGGGAAGGGCACAGCAGCCCCGATGTGCACAGAGCGCCTGTAGATGCCTCGTCCTAATGAGGAGAGCCACGTGGAAACTCAGCAGACTGGGGCTCCTAAGATCTTGCAACAGAGAAATTCTGCCAAATAGCTGTTTTTTCACATGCACAGCTTCTCATCATCTGACTTAACTCTGCTAGGAAGCTCTCAGATATGTGTTTGAGCCAGGCATCCTCAAAATGCCCATTGAACACAAGCTCTCAGCCCAGTAACCTGAGGCCACTGACTCCCAGCACTCAGGCTCTGGGAGGAGCAGGGAGGACAGCCCTGGTTTTGCAATACTGCACTCTCTCTGCACACAAACAGCTCTGGGCAGGAGCACCCTGGGAGCCATTACCCAGCTGAGTTATTAAATGCATCTTTTATCACATTAACTGTTTCCCTCTGACATCCACCAGCACTTGGCCAGATGCCAGCACCTCCTTTCCACTTTTAACAACTCTACAGCAATCCCCTAGACTCCAGCCTAGTTTCTCCATGTGCAGCTCTGATCTTGGTGTGCCCTCAGGCCAACAAGCTGTTTGCATTCGATACCACCAACTTCCACGTGCAAAAAAAATGCTTGCAGATATCCGTCCAGCCATGGGATGCTCTCCAAAGGCCAGGGTAGAGCAGAGCCATTGGCAAGACGCTCCTGTACCAGGAATCGTTTGCTTTCCCAGTGGATGCTGGACTGCCCACCCGGCAGTGGTTTATCTACCTTGAAGGAGTGGGTGCACCTGCAGAGCTGCCCTGTGTGAATCCGCTGTGTCCCCTCCACTGCCCAGGGTGAGACGTGTGCTCCTGGGAGCGGGGGAAGCAATGGCTGCCTCTTGCCCCATCACTGCCAGCTCACACGGGCACGCTCTGTGGCATTGCAACAGAGCTGACCACAGCTTTGTTGCAATTCTGAGAACTTGTAAGACAGGAAGGCCTAAAGGGCTGGTGATGAAGACATCACCGTGCCTACATTTCTGTCTGGGGCATGCAGGGCCTTTCTGCCTCATGGGATAACCCATCTCCCTCCAGGAGCTCCTACCATTGCACAACCTTGCAGAATACATTGCACTTCTGTTTCCAGCTATTCCTACGCTGTCTGTGCCATTGCCAGCTCTGAGAGCTGCTGAAGAGGAGAAGCATCACTGGCCCCTCCACATGGCCCATCAGCGCTGAATACCAGCAGTTCCTGAGACCACGGGTTGCGGGGGGAACACCTCAGCAGGCTCAGCCCGTCATCACCTGCCTGGAGGCAGCTTGTTCACACCAGGCATGCTCAGAGCTGTGACATGAAGTCACTGCAATTAGACAGCTGTGGTTTTATTTTGCTCCCGTGGGTGTGTAGCTGCCTTTCCCAGCACATGAGGAAAGGCAGGTGACACTGGCAGCCAGGGCAGCTGGCTCTGAGCCAGGGAGGCTGCTCACCCGGGACTTCTGTGCCCAAGAAAGAGCTAGTCACAGCTCGTCCAACAGCTCCTTTTAACCTCCCAGGTTGGGGCTCGGCAAGCAGGACTGCCCATGTCCCTGGGAGTGCCTCCCTGCTCTTGCCCTGTGATTCAGGGCTTAGGACTGTAGCGAGATCTGGAATTAGCTTTATTGTTCCTGTACTGAGGCACACGCTCTGGGCAATGCAGCAGGCGTTGCACAATTGACTTCATTATATCTGAACCAGCAATTATGCTGCTGTTGCTCAGCTCCAGCAGAGAAAACTTCTGTCAGATCACTACTGTGCCCTACATCCCAGCAGATCTCTAGGAGTAAATGCCACACTTGGGTTATTGAAGATGTTCGGTGATGAAGATCCCTTGGCCCTAAGGCAATCATGCTTCACTACCCTTACTGCAGGCCTTAAACATGCGTCTTCTTTCCCTGAGCATGCAGAACAGTTAATCCTCTTTCTATCTGCATCTACCTTAAATATATTTTAAGACTTTTATTGAGTCTCTGCTTGGTCTTCTTGTAGTCCCCATTCCTTCAGCCTTTCATTACAGCCCATGACATCTCGCCTTCCAGTCACCCTTGTTTCTCTTCTCTGGATCATCTCCACCTTCTCCAGATGAAGGATGAGGTACTACTCAGAGGGCCCTTTCTGACCTTGACAAGGCATGCATATCTTAAGGAATGGCAAAGGGAGCATTTTCTGCCCATCTCCATGCTGTGCTAGAACTTTTCAGGGCAGAAAAGTATGTCTCAAATGCTGCCATATTAGAACTGCAGCAGCACTCAGACGTACAATTCTGGGCCATCACTGAGAACCAGCTGGGCTTTAGGGGCCCTGCACAATGGCTCAGTGGGATACTGCTGGAGCAGTTAGCATCACAAGGGCCTTGTTTGAATTCACAATATCTGCAATATGCAGTCAAGCCCCAAACTTTCAACAGACCTATTAGTTTCACCAACCAACGTTTGTCTGACTTGTACTAACGCAGAGCAGCCACTGCTGGAGAGCAAACTGCACAGGGCACTGATGGGCTGGAGGCGCATGCCGGCTTCTCCAACTCCCCGCCTGACTACGCTGCTAAGAGGATTATGAGCAGAGCAACTGTGTGAGGATGGAGTGAGGGGTAAGCAGGGCAAGCACGGATGTAACATCTTTGTGAAGCTCCTGGCTGAGGTTAAAGATGCAGACAGGGGCTCTGTTCCTGAAACACCCCTCATAATCTTGTGTTTGCTGTAAAGGCTGGGCTTAAAGTGGAGGGCACTGGGCTTCTTTGCCAGACCCACAGCACAGTGGTGCTCTCTTCTACCTTCCCAAGAAAGCCATGTCCCCAAACTGCCTTGTGACACTGTTTGCTCTGCCTGGAACAGGCTGGGTGGAGCTGAGATCTGAAAAGCTGGAACAATAATTTGGGCTTTCCTCAGCAGAGAGTGCAGAGAACTGGGGTGTGGATGGGAGGTACCAGGCTGGACTCTGAACCCATCTCCTCCCCACTTTCAGCTCTGGGTGCTTTAGGTGTGGCAGTCTTTAACACACTTCTTGAAGACAGCTGTGTGAGAGGCTTTGTTTGGGTAACTGCAGGCTGTGCTGACAGGGGTTCCTGTACCAGCAGGTACCTGTCAAGATCTGGCTGGTTCCCGAGAGTGGCAAGTAGGGGCTTTCCCCTGCAGTGGGCAAGGCTCTGCCCCTCAGGTATCTTCAATCTGTTTTTCCCATCCTTCAATAAAGAGATGATTGAATTCTGACTCTATAGCCTAGAATTTGCCTTGCTTGCTTTTTATACCTCTCTGGTTGCTGATGCAGAGTCCAACCATGTTCTGCACAACGACGAAAATGTTTCCTGAGCAATTCTGGCAATCTTGTGATTTCTAATGTGGTCTGAAAACATTTGTAGGGTCTTTTTAGACATGTGGGTTACACCTCTGTAAGAGAGGGGTCGCCTCAGGACAAATCCAGTCAGAGTGAGCTCAGCCTCTGCTGTGTTTGCAGGCTGCTGCTACCAGCATCTGGCAGGCTGCTGAGCAGTTAGGCACTGACAAGATGCAGGCGATTGGTGCTCCCTGGATTTAGCCAGATGTTCTTAAGCATTTCAAAAAAGCTTAGACATCTGTTTGGACATTTCAGATCATAGGCACATGGGGATGCACAGCTCCAAATGACTCATGGCTCTCTTGTCATTCGGTGCTGCTCTGATCGTCCAACAAAACAGCATCTGAGTGGGTATTTTCACTGTTGAACATGCATTTGCAGCAACGACAAATCAGGGATATTTCACCCTCAGCTCTCTACCAGAATGGTATGTAAACAGTTCCAGGCATTTCTTGGAGAAGTATAACATTATTTTACACCCCTAGGTGCCCCAGATTGTCATACAAATGTTCAGAATTTGGGTGAAGTGTGCAAGCCTTCACGCACAAACTGTGGCCGCAAGCTGTGTGGCCACCTGAGATACTGCTTGCTGCTTAGCTCAACACTTGTGCTTCCAACCACTACTGCAAAGCATTGTGTTAAAAATGCCCCAGAATTAATTGGCACCGTGGAATTAAGAAGGGTGCTAGGACACACCCAGTCAGAAGTGATGCCTTGACATCCACCATGCATTTCAATGAACACCTTGGCAAAGATTTTCACAGAGAAAGATGATACCATTGCTCCTTTTCACTCCAATTAACTTCTGGGTTCAAATTTTGATGCCTCAGTGCTACCAATTACTCTCTCACTCTCATGGACTGTCTGCATCAGCATGGTCTGTGTTATCTAGTAATCTCTGAGGTCACTCAAAGGACATTTATACCGGGGGAGGCATTTCCAGAGTTATCTAGTCACCACAGCATCCTGTGCATGTTCAGCAGCACTCACAACCTGGGTCACCTCGACATTTTCCCACCAGCTTGATTAAACCCATTCTGATCCTTTGGGTCAGCCATTTCTGCAGGTCTCAAAAAATGCGTTGCTTAGACACTGGCACAGGCTTCTCAGCAGTACTCTTGCTTTCAGTCACTTTACACATGCACATCAGTGAAGGTGACACTTTTCAGGTGACTCAGGCACAAAGAAAGGCCATTGTGGGTGGATAATTTAGGTCCAGCTTTCAACTTTCAGATCAAGCTGAGAGATGACAGCAACTTTCAGTGAAAACTCATTAAATCACAGCGCTCAGGCAGAGGCAGGACTGGTTCTGCATCACAGTGGATGCTGCGAGCATTTTGGAGGGTGTAGGACATGTTATTCACTGTAGTAAAGCCAGACATCAGTGAAGTCACTGCAGACTCCAATAAACCCCGTCTGAAGTCCTTCATGCTCTCCCCATCCCCTCACCATTCCTTTCATAAAGCTTTGTGAAATCATATCAAAACTGTGGAGGCAGTGGAGAACCAGGCTGGAGAAGAAGCCCTTCAGCAGACAGGGCTTTCAGACACAGCCCTGGGGTACAACAGTCCTTGATGCAAAGGACAGGACAGAATTCTCTTGCTTTTGTTTCGCACTGATCTCCAAAGAGGTCAGGAAAGCTTGTTCTCATCTCTAAAGAGTTTCCTCTGCCCATGTTTCCTCTAGAAATTCCCCCAGATGTTTTTTGGAGGCTTTGGGTGACTGGCAGAGACCTGGCTCTGTGCTTGTCCAAGGATCACATCAGCACTTAAACCCACCAGGAGGGAAGACCTGGGCCAGGTTCTTTCTTGGCTTTCCTGCCTCAGCCCCCAGAGTCTCTCTGGGTTAGTGCCTGGATAGCGGCCAGTAGAGCACTAAGGTGGAAGGTGCCATCTCTGCTCTTTAACAGAAGCCCCTCTGCCAAGACCGGCAAGCGTAGCAAGGCCAACCCTTATGGCCCTTTCCTCGAGGGGATCCCTGGGTCTCCCGTGCTCCTGTCAGGGGATGCTGCTTCCCGATGCCCAACCCATGCACCCCGCCGGCTATCGGGCAGCACAGCCCCATCTATGCAAATCTATGCAAATATGAGCAATGCTCGCAAATCTATGCAAGCGTGTGGGGCCGTTTCGGGCGGGGCAGCCCGCCCCGGAGCGCCGGTGCCGCCCCCGGTATAAGGCGGCGGCAGCGCCGCCGTCCCAGGGCGCGGATCTGCGGCAGCCCGGGGACAGGCAGGTCGTGCGGCAGCGGCGGCATCATGGTGAGTGCCAGCCCCCGCTGCTCCTTCCCTCTGGTCCCATGAGTGCTCCCGGGAGTGGGGGAACCCCGTCGGGACCTTCCTCGGAGCGGGCTGCGATCCCCGTGGCTTCCCGGGAGGGCTCTGCCGGGAGCCCAGAGGTGCGGGCAGCTTGCCGGCAGGAGTGCCCGCCTGCTTGCCTTGCCTTTCCCTGGCTTCAGCCACTTTCTGAGCTGCTCCCTCTCCGGCTCTCAGCAGCCTCCCTCCTTTGAGTATCCCCTTGTACCCGTGGCAAGGTCCCCTACGAGCCCCTCCGTCTTTGGAGACCGGCGCTCGGGCAGACTCTCTCACCACTCTTTCCGACTTTTGGTAGTGTCGATTCCTGCCTATGTCCCGCGGTACCATCCCCGGCTGCGCAGAGCCAGCCCCCCACGCTGCCGACCCACAGCTGAGCCGTGGCAGGAAGCTGTGGCTTCCTCCACCCACTGCCCTGCTCCAAGGGTGGGCATCACTGTGGGTGGGCTTCCGGGCTGCCCTGCCGCCGTGGTCCTACGGCGAGCTCTTGTCTCTTGAGCTCTCCATGTGCCCGGGAGAGTATCTCGGCCCCAAGGTTCCCTAGCCACCCTGCCTGCTGTCCTGCGGGCCCATGCTCCCAGACCTTCCTGTGCCAGACCTTGCCGTGAAGAAGGCACTCTGCTGGCTGGTGACCAGCACTGCTTCTTGCTGGTGCTGTTGGGCTCTGCCCAGCCTGCTGTCAGTGCTGGGTCCCACAGAGCCAGTCCTGGCTGCTGCATGTTGGTGGGATGAAGTGCAGTGAGCAGCATAACCCTCTGCACCCCCACACTGATTTGCAAGGTCCTTGGCCATGAAGGAGTCCTTTCTCATCTCTTCTTTCTTGAGGTGCTTGCAGCTGTGCCAAGTGTTTTCTGTGTCCTTCTGTAGAGGATCCTGGAGGACTTACCTCAGGACTTAAGTCCTCAGGACTTACCCTTGGCTCCTTGTGTTACACAACCTTTATGGACCTGCTGGGAGGGATAAGCGGGGTATTGTTTTGCTGGTCCTTGCACCTCAGCTTTGGGAAAGGTGGGAAGATGGGCTTCTGTCTCTCACCATGGGTATCAAGGGCTTATTTTTCTGTCATTCCTTGCTGTCACTGCTGCCTCTGAAATGCAGTGACAGCACTGAAAGCACTCTAGATGCAGAGAACCAGGACTTGCTGCATCCTGTGTAACTTCCTTGGATGGCAGTCACTGCCCTGCTCCTGAGTGCAAAATGGCTGGTTCCACCGGCTTCCTGCGAGCTGACTCACGCTGGGGCACTCATGGCTCTGGAAATCCGGTTTGATTTCGATGCTTCTCTACCTCAGTTGTGCCTGATGACGCATCCAAATCCTTGGCAACAGCAGGTCTAAGGCACTGAATATTTTGGTTCTTGTTCAAAGGACTGCAGGCTCTGGGGTGCCTCACCTGAAGGGAGTGAGGCTGCAGGGCCCTCCTCAGCCTGTCTTCTCCTGAGGAACCTGAGACTGCCCTCAAAGTTGTAATCTAGGTGACTCTCCCCGCTCAGCCTTTGGTTCAGTTAAGAAGTGCAGCTAATGCTTCCTCCTCCTCTGGAGCTAGTTTAGGGAAGCTGAGCCTCAGAACATGGCAACCATTCATGACTGCAAATCCCTGCCCTTGCTGGGCACCCATCCTCAGTGCCGTCACCTCCTCAGCTCCCAGCGCCTGGGTGGTGCTCTGCCATCTCAGCCTCCAACCCTGTTGTTGGAATAGCAACAGAGGCTGTGCCAGCTGATGCAGGGCCCCAGACCTTAAGCCGTGTGGGTGTTTGCACAATGGAGAAGATGCTCACGGGATGCTTCCCAGGGCTGTGGATGGGGGCAGTCCAGGGAATTGGTGGCCTGGTATCCTGGGCTCCAGCAGATGGGTCTCCATCTTCTTGGGGCAGTGAGGTGGTCAGTGCAGTGATGAGAGGCAGAGCACCAGATCTGGGAGACCACAGTTGATTGGGATGGACACAGGACACCCAGGCACCAGAGCAGTGTGGCTTGCCCAAGATGACAAGGGCCCAGGCTGCCCTGTCTGGGCTGTGCAGCACCTGCAGTGATTGCATTTCTGGTCTCTGCTGGGATGTGACCCTGCCTCCCCCTCCCCAGCGCGAGTGCATCTCCGTCCACGTCGGCCAGGCCGGCGTCCAGATGGGCAACACCTGCTGGGAGCTGTACTGCCTGGAGCATGGCATCCAGCCCGATGGGCAGATGCCCAGTGACAAAACCATTGGCGGAGGGGATGACTCCTTCACCACCTTCTTCTGTGAGACCGGGGCTGGGAAGCATGTCCCACGGGCCATCTTTGTGGACCTGGAGCCCACTGTGATTGGTGAGTGTACCCTGTTGGGCAGTGACAGTGGTCATTATTTCTGTGAACAACCCATTGCAGGACACTCCCTAGAGTGGCTCCTGCCACCTTTCCCCAGGCCCAGTTAGAAAATCTCTCTCATTGTGCCAATGTCTCCTAGATGAGGTTCGGGGAGGAGTCTACCGCCAGCTCTTCCACCCTGAACAAATGATCACTGGCAAGGAGGATGCTGCCAACAACTATGCCCGTGGGCACTACACTATTGGCAAAGAGATCATTGACCAAGTGCTGGACAGGATCCGGAAGCTGGTAAGTGACTGCAGAGAGGGGACATGTCCCCCTGACTGGTGGGATCCAGCATCCTGCTGGGGGGTGGGAGCAGGGAGTGAGCTCCTCTATATGCTGGGAGGAATCTGGAGCTACCCAAGCAAACTTTTGAAACTTCCCTTGAGCCAAGTCAGTGCTTGGAGAAACCTTACTTGTCTCTTTCTGCAGGCTGACCAGTGCACAGGACTCCAGGGATTCCTTGTGTTTCGTAGTTTTGGAGGTGGCACGGGCTCTGGGTTCACCTCCCTGTTGATGGAACGACTCTCTGTTGACTACGGCAAGAAGTCCAAGCTGGAGTTCTCCATCTACCCTGCACCACAAGTCTCCACTGCTGTGGTAGAGCCCTACAACTCCATCCTCACCACACACAGCACATTGGAGCACTCAGACTGTGCTTTCATGGTGGACAACGAGGCCATCTATGACATCTGCCGCAGGAACCTGGACATCGAGCGCCCAACCTACACCAACTTGAACAGACTCATCAGCCAGGTTGTCTCATCCATCACAGCGTCACTGAGGTTCGATGGAGCCCTGAATGTTGATCTGACCGAGTTCCAGACCAACCTGGTGCCCTACCCTCGCATCCATTTCCCCCTGGCCACCTATGCCCCCGTGGTTTCAGCTGAGAGAGCTTATCATGAGCAGCTGTCAGTGGCCGAGATCACCAACTCCTGCTTTGAGCCAGCCAACCAGATGGTGAAGTGTGACCCTCGCCATGGCAAGTACATGGCCTGCTGCCTGCTGTACCGCGGGGACGTGGTGCCCAAGGACGTCAATGCCGCCATTGCCACCATCAAGACCAAGCGCAGCATCCAGTTTGTGGACTGGTGCCCCACGGGCTTCAAGGTGGGCATCAACTACCAGCCGCCCACGGTGGTGCCAGGGGGTGACCTGGCCAAGGTGCAGCGCGCCGTCTGCATGCTGAGCAACACCACAGCCATCGCTGAGGCCTGGGCTCGCCTGGACCACAAGTTCGACCTGATGTACGCCAAGCGCGCCTTTGTGCACTGGTACGTGGGCGAGGGCATGGAGGAAGGGGAGTTCTCTGAGGCACGGGAAGACATGGCTGCTCTGGAGAAGGATTACGAGGAGGTGGGCCTGGACTCCTACGAGGATGAAGAGGAGGGTGAGGAGTAGAGAAGCCTCAGCCAAAAAGGACCATGCTCCTTCCCAATGTTACCTGCAGAAACCCTTTGCAATAAACCGTTTCAGAGCCTCTGTGTCTCCCACTATCCCCCCAGCTGTATCGGTTTCTTGCCAGGTCAGGTGTGTGGTGAGTGCTTCAGCCCTGGTACTGGTGCTGCTATGCTTCCTCCCAGTGCTCTGCTCCAGCTCTGCCTCCCCACATAAGGAAAAGCCCCATACCAGAGGGATATAGCCAGGACACATGGCAGGCTCTGGGCCAGTGCCCAAGCATGTCCATCAAAGGGATCCAGAAGAGTGCTGTTGATGTGATAGGAGAAGCACCTAGCTCAGGCATGGGGTCTTCTGTCTGGGATTACCTCTATCTGCCCTGCTCTGCCTGTGCTCTGCCATCCTCCTGGGGCACGTGGCCCCACTCTACCTGCCCCAGATCATCTTCTGCATTGTCCCCATTCTGACTCTCACTGCCCTGCCTGTTGGTGAGTAGTCCCAGCATCAGCTCCTGGCTCCAGCTGCAAACTGGAGATTTCTGTTACCCATTATCCAGCATGCTTGTTCCAGAGATTAATTTTCCCTGCTTACCACTAATGCTACAGCTATATTGACCCACGGGGGCTGTCCTCCCCTGCCCTTCTCCTCCCGACATGCACCCGTGTCAGCTGGAGGGGGAGTGGGAGCCACCCCCAGCTGCTGGAGCGCAGCCAGGCACTCATCCCACTGTGCAGGGCTGCTGGCATTGCTCTGCACATCTGTGACCAGAGCACTGGGCTCAGACTGAGTGGTGCCTGCTGTTGTGCCAGGGCAGGAGTTGCTGCCCCTCACACCAGGTGCTGCTCTGATCTACTCTTTACTGAGGTCTGAGTGTGGGGAAAGGAAGGAACCTGCTCCTCCAGGAGTAATTCCACCACAGATACCTCCCTGGGTATTCACAGAGATCTGATTCTGCAACCAAAAGGATGAAGGAGTTGGAATTGAATCCTACTACTATTTTCTAAAAGTTATCCTGCACCTCTGATCTGGACCCTGAGGGACACAGCAGTGTCCCTGGTGTGCTACTCCTGGCATGCTGCTGAGCAGCAGAGCCCCAGCCATCCCCATGTCCAGGGAGGGGTAGCTGTGTGAGCCCAGGCCCTGGCAGACAGCATGCAAGGCTGGTGGTCCAGGTATCCTCAGCAGAAGGATCATCCCTGGCCCTGGCCAGGGCTCAAACAGAGCTGCTGCTCTGAATGTAGTCACAAGTTATTAACAGCAAGCGGTCTGCAATGACCCTTTTTTGGCAGCCCAGATTTGTCATGCAGATCTGCAGCCTCACAGGGTTGTGCAGAACTGACTGTTTGTCCCCACTGGGAGAGAAAGGCAAACCTTGTCTGGAGGCTTCCAGAGTATTGATGGCAAAGGGAGGTTTGGGGGTACCCTGGGCTCCAGAGTCTGGAGCCAGATGTGTGTCTGTATCATGTTTCTCCTTATTTCTCCTGTTCTAGAGGCCCAAGCGGTCTCGGGGTGTCCCCCTGTCCCAGGGGGAAGCTGGTGACAGAGCAGGTTAGGGGCTGCTCTACCTGCTCGGATTCCGGTGCAGGTGGTTGAGCACCGCCGGTCACCCCTGGGGGTTGGTGCCCAAGTCTTCTGTCCGCAGCCTGGCCAGGTGTCCCCGCTTCCCTCCCGGCAGAGAAGGGGGAGCAGCCCCGGCCCCCGCACCTCGGAGTTCCTCCGCAGCTGGAAAGACCCCGCCAGGTTCCCACGGACCCCGACGTGGGTACTCCCCCCTCACATGCAAGCGTACCCAAAATAAGGGGGCGTGGCGGCAGCAAGCCCCTCCCCCCTATAAGAGAGCGCTGCGGCGGGGATTGCAGCAGCCGCAGCTCAGCGCCGAGCCCCGCAGCACCGAGCAACCGGGACAGCCCGCACCCCCCGCCGCAATATGGTGAGTGTGGGCCGGCGGCGGGCACGGCGGCGGGCACGGCGGCGGGGAGGGCGCCCGGCAGCCCCCCGGCGATGTCCCTGCAGCCCCCCCGCGGCACCTTGCCCGGCGGAGCGGCCGCGACGCGCCCCCTCCTTCCCCGCCGTGACCTTGGGCAGCTCTACCGGCCCCTGCCCGGGGGCAGCCGTGCCCCCTCACCCGCTCCCCCCGCCGCCGATGCCGGGGTACCTGCCCTCACCCCGCTGCCGCAGCGGGGAGAGCCCTGGGGATGGAGGGGGGTGACCTCTCCAGTGGGGAGCGGTGGCGGGGGACGGACGGGGACAGCTGCTGGGGGTGGAGGCGCCAGCCAGGCTCCGGGGGCCGGAGCTGGGCGCTCGGCAGGGCTCCGCCCCCGGCAGCGGACGCCCCGTCGGGGCTGGTGGCGGGGCGCGGTTGTGGGGGTCTCGTCCCTCCAGTCCCGTCCCGCGGGGGTATGGCAGCGGCAGAGCGGGCCGGGGCCGCTCTCCGAAGCGGGCAGTCGCCGCTGCCCTCGCCCGGGGCCGGGGCTGTCTATATTTAGCGGCTCAGGAGTGGGCCAGGGTCGTGCCAGGAGGCGCAGCGCTCTGCCCTCCCCGCCGCAGTGCTGACCGGGCTCTGCCGGGGGCTCTGCTGGGGACCCTCCCCAGGACTGCCCTCCCTTCCTCCCGGCGGCTGGCCCTCCCGCAGGAGGCAGGAGCCCTTGTCCTACTCTGGCGCTGAACGGAGGCACGGACCCCATCATAGCTCAGGGCACTGTGCAGTTGGGAAATGCAGGAGGAAAATCCTCCAGGACGCCCAGGCTGAGTCGGGGCGTCCCACCAGGGGAAGCGGGGATGCTGGGAGCAATGAAACAGGGATGCTAGTACTAGCAGAGGCGGGTTGCCAGGGATAGGGGACCAAGGGTGCCAGGGGCAGCAGAGGAGGGATGCCGGGGTAGCAGAGCAGGCCTAAACGTAATGTATGGGGTTGCACAAGGTACATCTCCAGCTCACAGCCTGCTCCCCAGCACTTCTGCCGACACAGGTTTTGCAGCACAGCGTTGGGACTGTGTAGCCTAGGGAGTCTGTATGCTGCCTCAGAAACTGCTGGGCTTCACTGCCAGCCCTCACCTGGCTGCCACCCACCACCCTTGCATCTCCAAGGCCACTCACCCCAGGAAACTGAGGGCTTATCTGGCTCTGGGGCAGTAGGCAGGACAGTTCCCCCATGCTAGTTGCCACTCATGGGTTAAATGTGTGCCCCTGTCAACTCAGCCCCTCACTGGACTGCTGTGGCAAGGGGAAGGAGCTGGGTCTGCCAGGGACCCTGGCAAAGTGGCTGGGGCAGGGAAGCTGGACCAGGCTCTGCTCCCCATGCTGCTGGAGGACAGGCCTGGCCAGAGTCTGTTGTGCTAGTGGCCACCAGCAAGGGCAGGGCAAGAGGGATGCCAGAGCTGGCTCTTGACCCAGCAAGTGTTTGTGCATGGCTGAGGGCAATGACAGACATATGGGGCCCCTCAGGGGCACACAGGAGGTCATCCAAAGGAAAACATGCTCTTGAGGGTCACTAACCAGAGCAAGTCATGTGTGGGTGACTCTGTGGCACTGGCACCAGGCAGAGCACTCCCTGGGACAGGCAGAACAGAGCTGTGCCAGGATCTGACCCTGCCTCCCCCTCCCCAGCGCGAGTGCATCTCCGTCCACGTCGGCCAGGCCGGCGTCCAGATGGGCAACACCTGCTGGGAGCTGTACTGCCTGGAGCATGGCATCCAGCCCGATGGGCAGATGCCCAGTGACAAAACCATTGGCGGAGGGGATGACTCCTTCACCACCTTCTTCTGTGAGACCGGGGCTGGGAAGCATGTCCCACGGGCCATCTTTGTGGACCTGGAGCCCACTGTGATTGGTGAGTACTGGAGATCACATGGCCGGGGGTGCCCCCATGGGTGGGTAGCAGGCAGCAGGTGTGTGGTGCTTGTGCTCTGCTGACAATATCCTGCACTGGGTTCAACCCGAGGGCCCTTCTTTTTCCCCAGGAGAAGCCACAAATCTGAGCACCTGCTTTTGTTCTTGAAGTGTCCTAGAGGCAGCGGTGCTTGTACCACATGTGCGCAGAGAGAAACCAGCCCAACCGGCAAGGCAGCTCCTGCTGTGCTTGTGGGCAGGGAGCTCCGGATGGGTGGGAGAAGCTGAGCTGCACAGGGAGGTGGCAGCCACCTCCTGCTGCCAGAGAAACCTGATGCTGGTGTTGGCCTTGCTGACGTGTGGGTCCTTGGCCATGGCAGTGGCAGGCGGAGCCAAGGTGAGGGATGGCTGCTGGCACCCACTCTGCTTGGCGGCCGGCTCAAACCAACTGCCTCCACCAGGCTCAACCTGCCCCTCTTCTCTCCTAGATGAGGTTCGGGGAGGAGTCTACCGCCAGCTCTTCCATCCTGAGCAGCTGATCACTGGCAAGGAGGATGCTGCCAACAACTATGCCCGTGGGCACTACACTATTGGCAAAGAGATCATTGACCAAGTGCTGGACAGGATCCGGAAGCTGGTAAGTGACTGCAGAGAGGGGACATGTCCCCCTGACTGGTGGGATCCAGCATCCTGCTGGGGCTCAGAGCACACTGCAAGCCCTGCTGCACCCTGGGAGGAATCTGCAGCTACCCAAGGCAGGGATGGACCAGGTCTTGAAGGGACTTCTGAATAGTCAGGCCTTCACAAAGAAATGTGTCTCAGAAAATCTTGTGCATCTCTCTCTGCAGGCTGACCAGTGCACAGGACTCCAGGGATTCCTTGTGTTTCACAGTTTTGGAGGTGGCACGGGCTCTGGGTTCACCTCCCTGTTGATGGAACGACTCTCTGTTGACTACGGCAAGAAGTCCAAGCTGGAGTTCTCCATCTACCCTGCACCACAAGTCTCCACTGCTGTGGTAGAGCCCTACAACTCCATCCTCACCACACACACTACCCTGGAGCACTCAGACTGTGCTTTCATGGTGGACAACGAGGCCATCTATGACATCTGCCGCAGGAACCTGGACATCGAGCGCCCAACCTACACCAACTTGAACAGACTCATCAGTCAGATTGTCTCATCCATCACAGCGTCACTGAGGTTCGATGGAGCCCTGAATGTTGATCTGACCGAGTTCCAGACCAACCTGGTGCCCTACCCTCGCATCCA